ACAGAGTTACTTTCGCATTTATATATACTAGTACGGATATGGATTATATATAACTATATATATATAAATATATATATATATTATCTAGCTTTACAAATGTAAGAGCAAAGGGCTCAAGTACGGTTTCTTCGACAAATCCAGTTTATTCTATTCATTTGTCGTTTGAGGGAACGTGATCTGAAGTAGCTATAAAGTGGGCTTTTAGTATTTTTTATTTACTATTGCTAGGTACAGCTTTAACATTTTGATCTTATTTAATTTAATTTACTGTAAAATGTATTATTATATAAGTTTTTCATTTATTTATAGAGACCTTATATATAAAGTCATTGATTAGACATTTAGTGACATAAGAAATCTTTCACTTACGCGTACTTACGAGTACTATGAGTTGTAAATATGTTTCTTCGATAATATTCACTTAAAAATCTATTTAATACATTCTTAATATAAACCAGTTGTTATTTAGATTTATTGTTACAGTTTTTATAAAGGGAAAAGGGAACTTAGTAAAGAAATGACGTTACAAAAACTCACCTACGGGCAAAGTTACGCAAGCCTTTCACCGCCACAGTTCACTATCACAAACAAACGAATTGTTTTCCATCAATTTGAATTCAAAAATTATTCGATTAAATATTTTTATCACATCACAGCACTAGTTAGACCAACGATTTTCACCGCATAATTTCGTATAATGATAATTTTTTGTTTTATTTTTGTATAAATCTCTATTTGAAGCTATATTTAAGTTATTACAGAATATTTGTGTTATTTTTTTAAATATTATTGGTGTATTTTCAGGGGTGTGTGTGGACGATATCAACGCGGTCGAGGCGGTGGCGTAGCGGCTAGCGCGCAGGCGCGAGCATTGCACCCCTGGGCAGGGCCGGATTCTGATAAGGGAATTTGATAAAAACTTTGGTACGTTATTATGTTGCAGGAGGCCTATATCCAAGACAACCTGACATCATAGTTGCCAATGTAAATTTCTTTATATATTTATTTATTGTTTATTAACTTTTATTGGCATAATTAGTTCAAAAAATGTTACATTAAGTCAAGTTAATCTAATAAATTAAAAAATATGTATATTTACTAAAAATCTTCAATTAGGTATAAGGTTACAAATAAAATATATGTAACTAGGTATAAGGCAAATATTGGTCAGAGAATTAAAGGCTATTATTATTTTATTTTATTTACTATGGTACGTTAAGCTTTAAGTGCCAAGGAAAAAGATAAAATTTCTTAAATAAAAGTTTGAAAATGCTGACTAAATCAAATCTTTTGTCGTGTTATTAACCCGTTGATATATTAATTTATTAATAAAAAAACTTTTTTTTTATATTTTTGACCAATTTTTTATTTATTTAAACTAGCGATTTATCATTTTCTTTCGGGTACCTCTCAAGGTGTCAAATAGTAGCCTATGTGACTCCAAGTCATAGTTTATCTGTGTGCTAAATTTCATCCAATTCACACTTTCATACAAATCGAATTTCATCCAAACATGAAGGAAGAGGTAACAAACATACATACATACATAGAAACTTTCGCAATAATAGCAGTCGATTAGTTTACTAAAATATTGATTTACATTGCAAATTTAATTAATTTTTATTTAATAATATTATTAATTAATGTGTAAGTGTGTTTGTACTGTCTTCCCGAAGTAATTGACGTGATTTATCGCATAGAGAGATATATATTTAAAGTCCACGTAGAGCTACTTTATATATACTCTATCTCCGTACAACATTTGTTTTCCATAATATAATGTTAATTTGTTGACAAAGTTACTTATGTTGAGCAAAGGGAGACTTGCTAACTAGTTCAATTTTTTTTTTGAAACACGTAACTAACAACATAATATAATTATTTCAAATACGTCCCCATCGGGAAAACTACGAAGGCTTTCCCTACGAGAGAAGCCGACAAGAGCCGATGATTGCCGAACATCAACCTGTCTGAAGTTGCATTCTACCAGTTTATCCTGACCTCCCTCATCCCGCACTAACGTTTTTCCTTAGACTAAAGTGAGGCACATCCGATACGTTTGAAAGATCAAAGTAGGCTGGTTTCTTTTTTGGAGCATGCGCTAAAAAGACATCGATGGCGAAAAGGTTATATAGCTCCAGACTTGTACTAAATCACCGGTAGGAACAGGTTACTTAAGAAAAAATCTTTACCGTATTTGGTTAATATTTTTTAACAAGCAACATATCCTTGCATTAGTCTGGTGGTTTGTATATGCCTAATAATATCCTAATTGTTATTCCAGGTCATAATCTATCTGTGTGTTAAATTTTATTCAAATATATCCAGCCGTTTCAGAGTGAAATAGTAACATACATACATACAAACAAATATACATACATACATACTAATTTTGAAATTCATTACAATAGTCAAATATATAATTCACTGTTTTTTCCACCGACTTCCTCAAAAAGGAGGTTCTCAATTCGGCTGTATGTTTTTTATGTTTGTTACCTCAGAACTACGTCATTTATTAATCGATTTGGACAATTTTCCTTTTGTTTGAAAGTGTATACCTCCAGATTGGTCTCATTTAAATTAAAAAAAAAATACCACCCCTAAGGGTGCAAATAGCTAATGAAGTAGTAACGAAGTACGACGTAGTAACGAAGTAGGTAAAAATCAGTAATTTTTTACTTTTTAGTGCTTTTTTTTTATTTTTTTGTTAAAAAGTTTTTATTTCGATAAATGCAGTGGAAGAAAGGCTTAAATTAATGGTAATTATATTTAAAGAACAAATGAATAAATTTTCCGTCTAAACTTTTAATTTCATAACAACATAGACTTTATGAAACTTAAATATAACATGCCACAGTAAACCTAAAACTCAAAACAGACAATATTTCGATTGACTGTTACATATACTTAACGCTACTTCTTACATTCAATGGTGGTTTTAGGGTTTGCACCAGAAGTTATCATCATTGTGATGAAACTTTAAGTCTTTTATGTTAAATTTCATGCATAAAGTGTACTTTTTAACCGACTTCCAAAAAGGAGGAGGTTCTCCGATTCACCGATCACTCGAAGACGCCTGAACCGATTTGGATTTTTTTTGTTTTTTTTATACTTCCCAGGTCCCATATATTTTTTTTTGTGCCTGGAAGTCGGTTTTTATTTATTTTTTTAAGTTATTATAGTTACTTTCTAAACAACAAGCAGACAAATAATAAGTAAGTACTGTACATAAAAATAACTTTAATAATAAATTATTAGAATGATACAATTTGCAAGCAATTCGCGATGTTTTTTGCTAACGATCGTCTAGCCAAGAGTGAGTTCAGCCTTCCCGCTGTCAATAGCAACGCCCCGCCAGAAAGCTGCCACTCTCGATATCAACCACTGTTACATATTGAAAAAGTATGTATGTAAAAGTTAGTGCAGTCAGTTTGACTCGGAATGCAGTTCTGCATAGCTTTGAAAGCTACGGGGTTCAAATTAAATTTAAAATATATGGTTTTATGTTACAATTAACAAAAAGATAAAAAAATTATATGTATGTATTGAAAAAATACAATAATATTATATGATTAAATATGTAATTTGATGGAATAATTAAACTTTTAATTAGGTACTAACTTATATGTAATATTTAAACAAATCTATTCCACGGGAACCGTACATTTTCCAGGATAAAAGTAGCCTATGTGTTATTCTGATGTATGAGCTATAGTATTGTATAGTTTCATCAAAATCCATTTAGTAGTTTTTGCGCGAAAGAGTAACACGCATCCATCTATACATCCAGACATCTAGTATAAAAATTTATTGATATAATAGTATTATATACTAATAAATGGAGAGCCGATTTTTTGGTTTGGTTATACTGCGATAACTACTGAACCGATAGGAATAATACTCATACCATAAGAGGCAGCGTGTTTCGGAGAAGGTTTAAGTATATGATATGTTCGTGATTAAAGTACTATGCGGGCGGAGCCGCAGGAAAACGCTAGTTTCTAATAAATTCTAAATATAATTTTCCATTTAAATTAAAATCAAATTATCTAGTAGTGATTGCGACGATGTTACAGTGTAGAAATCAATTTTATCTTTGTAAATAATTGTTGACTTCCATCACGGTAACACTCATTGGTAAAGTTACTATTAAGAAGTGATCAATTGTTTTTGGTAATTTTTATTTCACCTGTTTACAGAAAACCTTTTAATTTAATATATAATGAATACTTTCTTAAATTTACGCGAATATTTGACATTTTAAATAAAAACTATCTTTTGGGATGATTTCGCGGATTTATTTTGGTTTTTGGTTATCGACGTTTCGAATGCTTTACAGCAATCATGGTCACGGAAGAGACTAAGGTTATAGACGTCTCAAAGCCGTTATACTCTTGTTACAGACAGTGCCTACCCACTATTTTACAAAGAATGATTTCAAAAATTCAAAAAATGGCACGCAGTACCTTACAATATTTGTTGATTTTTATTTCTAAACGTTTTAAAAATATTAAATTACAAAAAAACAGTAATATTTGTAGCAATAAACGCTAAAATTAAATAAATAATATTGCTACATTTAATAATAATAATTATATATTTTTTAAAACGTTTAGAAATAAAAATCAACAAATATTTATATTCATGTAGCCTATAATATTTAAATTTATATTGCAGATAATTATTACTAACTTTTTCATAAAGAATTGCAATACATTCGTAAGAGAAAATTTTAAAGTTAATTATAATGTCTTAGAAAAGCTATAAATATTATTAATAATAATCTGAAATAACAAGATTCGAACCCTTGTTTTCTAATATATTGAAGCAAATCAGTACAGAACTTCGTTTTCACAGCTTTTGAAAGAATTCATGATAATATAGTAAGAAAATAATCGTATTACTGCGGTTTAGATAACTCCTTAGGCGTTGGGGATTACTTTCCATTCAATCACTTATCTCGTAGTGGTCCTGATTCTGTGCTTATATTTCGAGTTTTA